CCCCGCCTGGCCCCCCCTCAGGCACAGGAACGCCTGACAAGCGGCATTTCCTGTCCCACACGGGGAGCAGGGGCTTCTGTTCCCAGGAAAACACACACGCAGGCTGTCCCCCCAAGATGTATACACACTTGACCAGCGGGCAGCTCGATATTGACAGTGAAGTGTATTTTTAAATATATTTTTATTGATTTCAGGGAGGAAAGGAGAGGGAGAGGGAGAGGGAGCCACCGGTGATGAGAGAACCGTGGATGGGCTGGATGAAATGTGCTTCGATAAAACGCTGCCTCTGTAATTACTCCGAGTGTGTGTATGCGTCCGGGGGACCCCTGTGTGTATCTCCCTTTGGCAAAAGCTTGTCTCTTTGTTTTCTCGATTCCACATGGTTTTACAGCTTTAAAAAGCAAATAAATAAAACGCAGGCAGGTGCCAGGAGGGGAGGACGATAGAAATTACCAAAACCCAGGAGCAAAGAAACCCACTGACCCCCCCACTGGCCCTCGATGCTCTTAACGAAGTTTCTCCTTGAAAAACGGGGCAGGGAAACACTCGCTAAAGTTTCCATCAAAACCACCGACTTTTCCCCGTGAACTCGCTGTTCTTGCAGGCAGGGCGCCCTGGGAGTGCAGATCTGCGATATCGTATTTTCCACATGAAAAAAAATCAAACTTTAGTTGTGCTTTTTGTAATACGGCTCCCGCGACTCCCACTCTCCCGCGTGACTCGGGGAGGGGCCGGGCGGGGTCTGAGACCAGGGGCCTCGCTGTCCCCTGGGGGGGGGGCCGTTTGCTCTTGGAACAACCACCCTGGTCCCCAGGGGCCGTGCTCACACACAAGAACCGGGAGAATCGTAACCTCAGTGCCACGCGAGCCCACGGGCTGTGGAGAGGCAGCCGGGTCCGGCCGACGTCGTCCACGAAGACAAGCTCGACGAAGGCCCTGTCGCTCAGGGGTGACGCCCCTTGAGCCCGACACCCTCAGGCCCAGCGCGGAGACGGCCGTCCTGATGCTGTGGCTGATCCGACAGCTGTTGGGTCAGGGGGGACCGTCACCCGCGGATCAGCAGGAAGGACGAGGGGAGGGCATTTCAACAACGTTAAAGGAAGTTCTCCCAACACCAGGGCCACCTCTTCCTCCGAGTCACACCTTTAATTAATTACCGGACTCTTTATTTTTTTAATATGCGTTTATTGATTTTTAGAAAGAAAGGAAGGGAGAGGGAGAGAGAGAAACATCCATGATGAGAGAGAATCATGGATCAGTGGCCTCCTGCACGCCCCACACTGGGGATCGAGCCCTCAACCCGGGCCTGTGCCCTGGCCAGGAATCGAACCGTGACCTCCTGGTTCACGGGATCGGTCTGCAGGAGACCCACAGAAGCACGGATGACCAAGCAGCCGCTCCGCACCTCCCACCGGGGCCGGCAGGGAGCCGGGTTCTTGGCGACCCACCTGCAGGCCCAGGACCTGCACGCGGTTTCCCTCCCGAGGGCGAAGGTCTCCCCTGCACTGTTTGAACCACCGGCTCTGCACGGCCTTGGGACCATGTTCTCAGCCCCTCCCTGTCCCTGCAGAAGTCCAGGATCTCCACCTACGAGAAGATGTGGGCCTTCATGGGCAGCAGGCAGCAGACGGCCCTGGTGAGGAGCAGCGAGGACGGCATCCAGCGCGTGCTCACCGCCGACTACGCGCTGCTCATGGAGTCGACCAGCATCGAGTACGTGACCCAGAGGAACTGCAGCCTCACGCAGATCGGGGGCCTCATCGACTCCAAGGGCTACGGCGTGGGGACCCCGATGGGTAAGAGGCAGAGCGTCAGCCGAGGCTGAGGAGGGCGCGGGCACCGTGGGGCATGGCAGGGAGAGTGGCTGGGAGTGTGGTGGGGAGTGTGGGTGGGAGTGTAGCTGGGAGTGCGGCTGGGAGCGTGGTGGGGAGTGTAGCTGGGAGTGTGGCAGGGAGAGTGGGGGGAGCGTGGCGGGGAGCGTGGTGAAGCGTAGTGGGGAGCGTAGCTGAGAGCGTGGCGGGGAGCGCGGTGGGGTGTGGGCTCGGGAAATCTGCTCCACCTTCCAGGGCTCCAAGGCCTGAGTGGACTGACCACTGAGGCAAAGGCCCCCATAGGTCAGAGGCCTGTTCTGAGTCTGCAATCCCAGATACGTAACCGAGTAAACTTTGAAGTCACTACTCCTTTCGAGTTCTAGTATCCGGTTGAGCCTGTAGGTTTCTATTATTTTACCCCAAAGGTCTTAACAAGAACATCTTCTGGTTAATTTCCTTGGCATTATTTTCCAGTTCCTATATGTGCCTATGTATTTTTTCTACCTTAAAACTTGCGGGCAGGGCACAGGCCTGGGATGTGGGCTCGATCTCCAGTGGGGGGCGTGCAGGAGGCAGCTGGTCCATGATTCTCTCTCGTCATGGATGTTTCTCTCTCTCTCCCTCTCCTTTCCTCTCTGAAATCAGTTTTAAAAATATTATAAAATAAATTCTCGCCCTGGCTGTTTGGCTCGTGGATAGTGTCGGCCTGTGGACTGAAAGATCCCAGGTTCGATCTGGTCAAGGGCAGGTACCTTGGTTGCAGGCTCCTCCCCGGCCCAGGCCCTGACCAGGGCGCATGCAGGAGGCAGCCAATCGATGTGTCTCTCTCACATCGATGTTTCTCTCTGTCTCCCCACCTCTCCCATCCATGCTCCCTGAAAATCAATGGGAACATATCCTCAGGGGAGGAGTAACAAAAAATAAATAAAAATTCTCTACTCACTCTGGTCCTGCCCTGAGCCAGCCCCTGGAGGCCAGACGCCTTCTAATGGCCACAGGTGGGCACGGTCAGCGTGGCCGCAGCACAGCAGTGAGGACTTGGCTCCTTGAAGACTCAGGACAGACGCTCTGGGAAGGGCCTCCTGAGGGATCTAAACGGTAACTTCAAGAGAAGGAAGCAGCCGGGTCAAGCAGGTCACAGGAGACGGGAAACTGCCTCCCTTAGAGGCGACTTCAACCACGGCCTGACCCTGCCCCGTGGAAGGTTCAGGGCATTGCACAGCCTGAGGGCAGCGGGGTGTCAGCAGCATTTACCAGGTGCCCGGCGTGTGCCCACTGGGTGCCCACTGTGTACCCACTATGTGCCCACTGGGTGCCCGTGTACCCACCACTGGGTGCCCCCTGTGTACCCACTATGTGCCCACTGTGTGCCCACTATGTGCCCACTG